AGAAGGTGACTTTTCAGGACATTACCCCATGTCCCCACTTTTCAAAACTCTTATAAATCACACAGAATGGAGTGTATTGAAAATCTGAAATAGCACAAAGTCTCCTGTGAGGGGTAGGTTTAGGGGTAGGGTTGGTGTAGGGCAATAGAATATACGGTTTGTACAGTAGAAAAACCATTACGCCTATGGGATGTCCCCACTTTTGTGTGTGTGTGTGTGTGTGTGTGTGTGTGTGTGTGTGTGTGTGTGTGTGTGTGTGTGTGTGTGAGAGAGAGAGAAAGTGTGTGTGTGGTATGACATAGGTATTACAAGGAGAAGGTGACTTTTCGGTGTGTGAATGAATATGATTATTGTTTGTATCTTCAGTGTTTTTGGTTTTGTTTTGTTTTTCCTATGAGAAGCCAAAGGAGAATTTTTACATTGCTGGATAATAAAGTGAAATCAATCAATCAATCAATATAATACAATTATTATTTAAAAATATATTATTATTATTTAGAATTTCATTAAATTTTCATTGACTAATTTTATAGACAATATTAATTTATACACCATAATAGTACTATATTAAATTAATGATAATAAAAACAATTTGAATAATAATAATTATTATTATTATTATTAATATCCCAGCAGCTGACTTACAGAAATCTGCTTTAAAAAGCTGTAGTCTGCTCTCATTCAGGTTTAAATGTACAGACCTGGATTATTGCTATGACAACAGTTCTGAGATTAGTTTTGAAGGAGGAAGGATTGAGTCTAAATCCAATTCAATCTAGATAATGCAGTAATTCATGTACGAAAAATGGGGCCCAGGTCTTGGATGTTCAGCTTGTTGACATTTGAACTTTGACACAGGAAACATCAGTCAATTTAAAATACTGCACCTGAAGATGAATATAGAGCAGTTATTGTCTTTTCTTAGGCTATATGGCATGACCTGCAACCCTTTAACTACATTTCTAATTTAAGTTTGTGCTATCGCAGTTGCTACTACTTTTTTAAACGTGAAACAAAAACTTTACAGTAGTCCTGTGTAAATTATGCTCAGAATGACAGTTGAAATCATACTGCTATTTTATTGATGCTAAAGTTTACGGAGCATTCTGTGTGGGTTAATCATTCACACTCCACATCTCAGGAACCGAGGTTTGTTTCTTGCACGTCTATCTCGGATTGCCAAACGTGAACTTGTGTTGACATTAATACATTGTCATGTTGAAGTGCTCTAAATTATCAACAAAGGCAAAGGTTGATTATGAAGGTGAAGGATGAGGCCTTCAAAGCGAACCAAAGAAATGAACTCACACTATTAAAAATCTGGTATTTGATATCAAGATATGCCACAATGATGCAATTTAATAATGTATTTCATGCTCCCTCTGAGCCGTTCGTCACTGCTGGCAGCTATTTTGCAAGAACAATGGCCTGATTTATTGCATTTCCGTTTGTTAAAAAAATATATATTTTTCTCAAAAAGAGTTTTTTCCAACAAATTGTTGTTCATCGTAAAAATATTATGCTTATATATATATATATATATATATATAAAGCATAACTGTTACCAATAAAATGAACCCTGTTACACATGTTTGTATATGTTTTTGTTTGATAATAATAAGAATTGGTAAAAGCATGGCCAGCACAGGTATTTCGTTGAGTATGTGAGTAAATTCCGCTGGGTTTAATGAAAAGGTGTCAAAGGCACTTAACCATATCTGCTATTTATAGAGAGTCACTAGAATCATTGCTTTACAACTCCGGTGTTTATGTAGAATTATTCTCGCCATTATAGAGATTATTAGTGGGTATAACTATTGTAATTGGACGTTTATGATACAATAGCCTCGTAAACAACCAGCTGTATAAGTAATAGATAGACTAGACGGGTAATGAGTTTGTTTAGTGTTTTAAATGAAGGTAGACAATTGGATAAACCCTGTTTTACACTATTTGCCCTAATTAAAAATCTATCGTTTTTTTTTTTTTTTTTTAAATAGCAGACTTCATAAAATAGTTTTAAGATTGGGGGGAAAAAATTATCTTCAACCTTAAATTAGGACTGCAAGAAAATCACTAGTAATCAGTAATACTTTGTTAACCAAGCACAGGGTTCTTCTTCTGAATCGGAATCATTTAGACACAATCGGCTTTAAATGCATCAAGAAATTATAACTAATATTTGGGCTTCCTAATAAAAAGTTCTCTTTGTACTTCATATAGAATTACATATGAAGAGCATTACCAACATGTTTCTGTTACTGTGGTGAGAATATTTTTACAACATGCCCCCCAATAAACTTTATGGCCTCAGAGGCAGCTATCGGCAAGCTTGTTTATACAATTCTCCTCTTACCAGAAATAGAGCAATGATAAAGAAAAATGGAACAATACAATGTAACAAGACAGAGCTAAAGCCTCTTTATTAGAACACATTAGAATGCTTTTGTAGAAACATGGTATGCCCCTATGTTTGTCTCATCGGCCTATTCATAATCCAGAGATTACATGTTCACTTATGAGAACTCCTAGTATACTGGTTTTGTAACTTGAACCAAATTTAAAGTCATCAATATGTCAATATAATTTAGGATTAGACAACAAAAGTTCATTTTTCACAGTATTGAATGAATATTTTGATATTAAAAATGTAATAAAAGTTGTTGTGTATGTGTACATACATACATGATATACAGTAGTCAACATTTGAAGTGGATCAAAACCTTTCATCAAAGTTGTCCTAAAACCTAAACAATACCCGTTCTTGTTTTAGGACAACTTTGATGAGCTTTTTTGATCCACTTCAAATGTTGACTACTGTACACTGCAAACCTGAGTTATTCTGCTCCTATAAGCATTAACACATCAATTATATAGCTCAAATGTGCCAACGTTTTAAGATATAGCAATTAAATCTGTGTCTAACAGAATATCATTTCTATTTCTGCAGCACGAACATGTGGGGGCCATAAAGAGCTAGAGATATCCATCACAATATCTTCTCTAACCTAAATATACAGTTCACAGAGATGAAGATGAAGGTTCAGTATGGACATATGGACACTCTCCGCGAATGGACATGTATGCAGGCAGATGCATATTGTTTGCTCAACAGTCCCTTTCGCCTCGGCCTTTGGACGCCACACCCTGGCTTTGTTAACGCGGTCATAAAACAGGTCCTGTTGCGTCGACGCCGTAGAGGAGATATGTTCTGCCCGTCAAGCTGAGCTTCTCTGTCACACCATTGATAAGAGAGTCCAGAGTGTGCTTGATAATGAAATAGCTCATAGTTTCTCAGCGTGCACTCGTCTCTTATCCAGCGATGCCGTTACACTGTGCAAACAGCACCAGCTCCTGCTCGAGTGCCGTCTATTCACATCGCACGCTAGCAGGTCTTCTCCCTTTCGATGAAGTGCAGATAAAACACATCGGACATTTCCCTCCAAGTTTCCCTCAGGTGAATATGAAAGCACCTTCAATAAAACTGACCAATCAATGCTGGACACAAACAGCTCTGTTTCTGATATCTGTGGGAAGACACGAGTTAACAGATAGGAAAATGGATGGAAATGCTGCTTTCCTCGGCAAGTCTGAAATGAATCACTTTGCCACAATAAAACATATATTTTATTCATACAAATTACTTTAGAAATATACAGTTATTTGAATTCACTTTTACAATCTCAAAACATATTAAAGTTTACAGTGATGAGCAAAACAACAGCAGTAATAAAGTACTAGAATAAAGAAACCGACATGACCAGAGTAATATTACACAACCTTTCAGATTCATGTGTAGGCTACTTCAAATGTTGCTGCATTACTACTACTTTTTATTCAGTCTTTGTCACGGTTGTCACATTCGTGTTGTGTTTTCATTGATGGGTTGATTTGAAAGTACTCTGTGTGTAAAAGTGTGAAAGGGCTCTTTATAAAAACTGCTGCAGGTCTTCAGTACTCTTCTTTGATAGTCATTGGCATAGATGGTGATACCAGGCCACTGCTGCTTGTGACCATGGGAACATTGCCTTGCAGAGCTGAACCAGGTGGGGTTGGTGTGGTTGTGGATGCCGGCTGCGGCTGTTGCATCTTCTTTTTATTGACTTTCCTCTCTTTAGCACGCCGGTTCTGGAACCAGATCTTCACCTGCCAACAACATGCCATAAGTCGTGCTGAAAAACATTGTTCCTGGTAAAAGTTGCGTTTTATGTTTAATCTATGCTGCATTACACACCAGTGATCCCAAACAGCTTCTGCACGCTTAAAAATAAAGGTTCCCAATGGGAGGGTTTCACAGCGATGCCATAAAAGAAAAATGTTTGGTTCTCACAAGAAACTTTCAGGTAACAGTTCTTAAAATAATTTTTTTTTCTGTAATAAAAATGTACAGAAAGACATTTTATTGGCATCTATGATTCTGAGAAGAACCTTTAACATCCATGGCACCTTTTACATTCCACAAAAGTTTCTTTATAATGCAAAAGGTTCTTAAAGGTATAGTTCACCCAAAAATGAAAATTAGCCAATTATTTACTCACCCTCAAGTCATCCTAGGTGTATATGACTTACTTCTTTCAGACGAATCCAATCGGAGTTATATAAAAAATTGTCTTTGATCTTCCAAGCTGTTTAATGGCAGTCAGCGGGTGTTGCAGTGCATCAGCCCAAAAGAAGTGAAATAAAGTGCATCCATCCATAATAAAAAGTGTCTCACACGGCTCTGGGGGGCGAACAAAGGCATCCTGTAGCGAATCAATGCGTTTTTGTAAGAAAAATATCCATATTCAAAAAGTAATAATCACTTTAATGTAGCTTGCGACAACAGTTGTACACGGAAGGCAGCTCCGCATTTGCGCTTGCGCCGGTGAGTCTCGTGAAAACCAACGTTTGTGAACAGGAGCAAAGAAAGCAAAGTTTCCTTACTTTAGCAAAGGAAAACCAGTCTCCTCTTGGCTTATATCGAAATCCTCCGACATTCTTCTTTACAAATCCTTGTTTTGTACTTCTAATAAGTGACCATTGTTTTGTTTTGATCTCTCCGCTGCGTTTCTGCGTTCGTCACTTCTGAGCAGCGCATGCGCAAAGCCGACCTCATACGTCATCCGCCCGGAGCTACTTCCTCGTATAAAAGTGGGCACAAGCTAGTGCTGGGCGGTATACCGGTTCATACCGAATACCGGTTTTTATTTTTGTTATGATATGAATTTTGAAAATACCACAAAACCGGTATATGTCACTTAAACAACGTTCGGAACGCGACACTGTTTGAAAGGGGTGTTGCACTGTGGTGAGGGAACAGCTGTACGTGTTACTAAGCGTGAAAGTTCCGAAACTGAAGCTGTAGAACTAATAGAACGTGATGACACAGAAGAACTCATCCACAATATCCACACTGACCTCCACAAATATCCAGCGCCCGCTGCCATCAGCTCCTTTTTGGGTGAACTAACCCTTTAAGATTATTAAAATGTTCTTCACATTCAAGAAGAAAATGCTTCTTTTAAGAATTTTTCACTGAAAGGTTCTTTAGAGAACTTTTGGGGTTTTTGAAACCTTTATTTTTAAAAGTGTACCATGGATATTAAAGGCTCAGGGAACCAAAGATGCCAATAAATAACTTTTTTACAGTATGAAGAACCATTTGTACATTAAAAAGTTTCCATGGATGTTAAAGGTTCTTCATGGAACAATAAATTCCAAAAGAGCGCATGAAGTACCTTTAACATCCATGGAACCTTTCCATTCAACATTGGATTCTTTATAGTGGAAAAAGGTTCTTTAGATTTTTTAAATGTTCCTTACACTAAGAAATAAAAATTGGGACTGAAATGTTTTTGGAGAACCAAAAGTGATTTTTCTGCATCACTGCAAAGCCCCTATTGGAATATTTATTTTTAGGAGTGTATGTGAAGAATATGTTGTCTAAGAACATGATGACTGAAGACTGTATAGAGCAGCTAACCTGTCTCTCTGACAGACTGAGTGCTGCTGCCAGTTCTGCCTTTCTTCTTATTGTGATGTAACGGCTGTAATGAAACTCTTTCTCCAACTCCAGACGCTGGTGATCCGTGTACACTACCCGGTATTTGTCTTTTGTTCTGGTCTTCCCTCCTAAATGACAAACGGCATAACAAATTAATTTTGCATTAAAAGTCAAGTCAATTTTAAACAAATAATTGTGAATCAGTCCTTTTGAGAAGTATTTTCTACACGACTCTTTCCTTTTCACAGTAGGCTCTGATGAGTATTTTATCACACGACAGAAAAATCATTTTAGTTTACTTTATTTATTTAGCAACAAATTGCTTGGCATAAATTTAAATGTATTCTGTGTAAACCTGGTTCCTTTCAAGGCTTTTCTCCATTTTTATTTTAAGTAGTTTTTACTCACTAAGCGTGCAGAAACATTTGACTATAATTAATTATAATGTGATAGACATAAAGAGTAATTTTTTTAGTTAATGTTGTTGTGTTTATCTTTTCTATTAAAAAGTAACTATGGGAACACAGTGTTTGCTCCCTTAATCAAGCCAATCGTTAAGAGCACACATATATAAAACACCAAGATGTTCATGTTATAAAGGTCTTTGGAATCGTGTCTCTATATTTCAAACTTAGTTTACCCTGTCAGCGGCAAGAGGGGACTTAAGTGGCTACCAGGTTAAATATTAAAACAACGCCTGTCTAGGGCAACAGAACTCCAGATAATTAGGCTTCTCCACCATAGCATCTTCACTTTAAATCTCACTAGAGGCCATAATCTCTTGGTATCATTAACCCGGCCAAGCAACTCTCACAATCCTCCATTTAAAAAGCCAGGTATTTAATGAAGGTGTTATATGAAATACATCTTAGAATCTTAAAATAATAGTGACAGTGAGCTAATAACATCATTTGGGCTTGGCTCCAGTCTTCTCAAAAAGGCCCAACTTTGTTTCAACCCAACTTTGGGTCAAATATGGACTAACCCAACTTTTGGGTTAAAAATTGAATGTAAAAATTGAACCCAGCGGTTGGGTTAGTCCATATTTGACCCAAAGTTGGGTTGAAACAACCCAGTATTTTTTAGAGTGTATGTTAATGTGTGGCAAATAAAACTACTGTTTTGAGGAATTGCCTCCAGATTGTAATTTATGGCATATTCATTTTTCATATGCATTAGGCCAATAAAACTAAGCGTGAAAGTGTTTGCGCAGAAATAGGTCCAACTAAATATATCATTTTCCTTCAGCTTGCCTGTGATGTCATGGTATGGCATGCATTTGAGGAGAAATTGAGAGTTAATTGTTGCGAGCTGACAGAGATCAAATACCTTATGAACAATGTGCTGAAAAATCAGATTTTTCATTTTATTTTTTTAATAGAACTTGATAATTACAATAATTCCAAATCTCACTGTTTAAAACTGGGCGGAAAAAATAGCCCCAACTGTACACATTTACAAGACATTTTCTTTTCATATTTTTATTCAGTTTTCATAATCAGCGGGATCCACAGTACGTAAGTTTTAACAGCAGGCTTTTGGTGACATTTCCTCCAGTCCTGTGAATTGCCTTATTGATTTTTTTTTACTTTTACTTTACTTTGCTTTTAGTCATTTAGCAGACGCTTTTATCCAAAGCGACTTACAAATAAGAAAAAGCAATTAAAACTAAAAGCTGAAACTCTATAAATATATATATTTATATATATACACATTTAAGAAAATAAAAGAAATGTATTTAAATGAAAACAAAAAAATAAAGCTAAAAACAATTCAAAATATTAAAAGTGTATATTAGAATATTAATGATTCTAACATAACACTAAGCCAAACACCAAAAAACAACTACATATGTGTATGTACAGCCACACACATATACATATATATAAATACATTCAATATATATATTATTTCATTTCCATTTTGTGTGTTGAAGTACTGAAATAACTCAAATTAAATAAAACTCAAACTTAATAAAAAACCTATATAGACATAATAAAAAACTAATAAAATGACAACATTACTACAACTGTAACTAAAACTAAAATAGATAACTAATACAAATCAAACTACATTAGTTTATCAGTAATCACACATGCTAAAATAACAAGAACTCACTGACACATGGTAAGAAATGGTTATAAAAAACTGAAACAGAAGTGAAACAGGAGAAATAAAAAGCGATACTTATTTACTTTTTCTGTTACATATTGTAATTTTAGTCATGTTAATTGCACATGCGCATCCGTGTATTCAACATCTTCTCGGCATCCGGACAAAAACAGAACAAAGAGTGACATCAAAGCAAAGAAATGCACACAGATCACTATATTAGCATGACAGTCACGTGCATACAGAAGAGTTTGCTTCTGAACCACTGCGGCACCGAGTTGAGCTGTAGTTTCCCCGTTACATGTTCATAGCAGGCCTTTTTGACTTTATTTAGGGGAGAGCGGGGCACAAAGTAACACTTTTTGACTTTCTTAAATTGTGTAAATCCACATGGGGTTCAGAGTATAATTTTATAATCCACAGTAATTTCACACTTGTCTAGTACAAATATATTGCTTTGTTTCATAATTACAGCGTATACGTTTTTCTTTATTTACCCTCAAAAATTGGAAGTGAAATGTGACAACATGCCCCGTAGGTGGGGTACATTGTAACATCTGAGGGGCACGTTGTAACACGACCATATGGACAGCTTAAAAGGTTATCTGATCGCATGAAAAAAAATATACAAGACAAACTAAAATATTTGGTCAATAAAATAATTATTTATTTCAAATAAAATAATGGCGTTTTTTAAGAATCAAAAATAATCTGATTTTGGAGTTTGACAATGAACTGACATGTCTTGAAATAATGTTTGTTTCTCGTCGTTTATCATTAAAATGTATTAAAGTAAGTAGTGTGAATTACATCGCTAATGTCATAGAATAGCACGGCAGGGCACATTGCAACACAGTGTTACAACATACCCCATCTGCG